TGCTAAACGCACACATTCGAAGTTATGTACCATGTAGCAATCATATCTTGAGGTTTTGCTTTGCCACGAGTAAGACATGAGGCTCAGCCGTGCCAGCAATTAGTGGGGATGTTTCCTATGTTCTCCATTCCTATTGTGACATCGACTAACATAGCATTAGCATCTGGGAAGTCTATTTCGAGAGATCATGGCGGAGTGACCACAAGAAACCTCAAAATCTGGGATGCCTTATCCCATAGCCTATGCTTTGGTGAATGGAGGTCGAGAGCTGAGCCTTGAGGAGTACTTAAATACCCCCACTCCTTCTGTTGATGCTTTCCATTCCCTTCTCATCCACACAAGTCTCAATCAAACGGCTTTCACAGTCCATCAAACATTTCTATTGCAAACACATCTTCTTCGTCCACCAAATTGCAAGCATGCAGATCTCTCAGCTTCTTCTCGCAACTGGCCTCTTCGCCTCCTCCATCTTGGCTGCCCCTGTTACCAGCTCTGATTGGACCATAGGAGATATGAAGCGCGTCTGCAACGGCGAAAACACATCATGCGTCTGGACCTTCGGCGTCGACTCCGGTTCAGACACTGCCAACTGTACCTTTACCGTGGAGGCCAGCGATGCCTCTCACGCTAACGGAGGCCCTAGTACATGCGGCGCATACACCGTCAGCTCAGGCTGGAGCGGCGAGTTTGATCCTACCAATGGCTTCACTACCTTGTCTGTTGCCAATAAGGAGACGGGTCAGCAGATCTGGCCTGCCTACACCGACGAGCAGCTTGCGGACGGAAACGTCGTCCAGCCCGACCAGAGCTACCCTCCCACTGCTTTTCCCTGATTGAGGGAACGATCGGACAAACACGTTGAATTACGGCTGATATGGCCAGTTTAAGCTGACAACACTTTGTTTCTATCAAAGCCACACGCTCCTTTTGATTGTTGATTTACGATCCCTTTTTGTACTTAAGTTCAGTGTTGGAAGAACGAAACGCGCAGCCTGAATGATGTAAATATCAAACACTCATGCTCTTTAATAACACTTGAGTTATCCGGTGTAACATTTGAGTTAGTTATTCTGCGTTTGGGCGTAACCTTGGGCTGGGAGCATATCAGGATGCTGAAAACTTTCTTGGAGGCAGCAGCTCGACCACAAACAGTTCTTGTTCTTCCCTTAGCCTCAAACCAATCAACTCGACGCTATTCGCCACTGATCCCCTACCCTAAACCCCTCCGGGAAGGGGTCGCTCGAATCAAGGACTACTTGTTTGAAACTAGTTATCCAAGCCCTCCCAGCAACAGTCGGGAGAACAGCCTGATATCTGCCGACTTGCGTGGTTCCACGGATATGGCTGGTAAACTCGGTGCCAATAATACTGCGATGTTTGAAAGTCTCACCCTCCGCCAGGTGACCCCTCGCATGCAGAACAGCGAGTCGAGCACATGTGCCAGTACCACAAGGACTGCGATCAAAACGCCCTGGTGAGACAACAACAGTGTTTACAGCAGCTTTGCAATTGCCCTCTTCTATGAGAGGCTCCGTAAACTCCAGAATACTGACTCCCTTGATTTTAGGATTTTCGGGATGGACAGGGGTGTAGGAGGCTTGGACTGCACGTTTGATACGCTCGCCAATCTCGACTAGCTGCGTGCTATATTGCGATTGGATTTTCAGACCCACGGAAGCTGCATCCACGAGCACGTACATCATCCCTCCCCAGGCAATGTCAACGGAGACTTCTCCAAGGCCGGTGACCAGGACTTGATAGTCGAGTTCGAATACGAAGGCGGGTACATTGTCGAATGCTACGCTCTTGCATTTCCCCGCTTCGCATTCTGCTTTCACGGTAATCAGACCGGCGGCGGTATCCAGGGTCAGCTGGGTGATGGGCTCTTTCATCGGGACCATGCCGGTCTCCAATAGCACGGTGGCGGTGCAGATTGTATTGGATCCGGACATAGGTGCGTATTCTTCGCTTTCCATGATCAAAAACCCGGCATCGGCTCGTGGATCACAAGGTGGTAGGATCAAATTTGTGTTCATTGAGCACCGGCCTCGAGGCTCGTTGAGCAAAAGCTGGCGTATGTTGTCTTTTTCGTTTAGAAAGTGGACTAGCTTGTCGTACATTGTACTGCCAGGCACATCGAGTACTCCGCCAGTAATCACATCGCCGACTTCACCTTCGGCGTGACATCCAACGACTGACAATGTACGCGAAAAGGGCATGGTATTAGGTTGGCTTGTAGATTCTGTTTCTGTTTCGGCAAGAGACGGAATTCAAAATAACGGTTATTCAATTGGCAACTGGAATTTATTTGAAAGGAAGATCCCAAGGTATCTCCAGGCATTGGTATATTGTTGGACTAAAGCATACACTTGAGCAAAAGTACCTAGTATACGGGGTGGGCTCTACCAAAGCACATATAATTGCTTTTGACACGGATTGTCTACTTTATGTGTAGCGCTGCAACCGCTACGGGCTCCCATTTCCTCAGAGCTAGCGAGCCCTTATGGAGATGTAAAATATAGTCCTGACATTATGATAGGACACAAGAACTGTCGTGATGATTGATCAACAGGATTATCCACACATGTGCATGAGACCGGGGGGGTCCAGGCCCTGATCGAGTGTCAGGTGAGGGAACAAACATTAGCACTGTGGACTACATAACTTTAACGTGCATATCCTCCTTCGCTACTCCGTATATTTGGGGCTCTTCTCGCCATTTTAGGGTAATTCTGTTGATCAAGTGACTCGTACTATTATCTAGATGTTTGCTCTGTGTGATGGATTGAGGCCACCTGCACAGGCTGTGTTTGCCCACCACATATCCAGAACAAGCAAGTCCCACAGGTGAACAAGAGCTTGCTAACTATATATACTGTATGTTTGTCTAGTTATATTGGGGAAAGAACATCCCTCTTAGATCACATTGCAAATCTCCCTTTATCATGATTTAGGTTAAAGATGGGATAATAAAATTATTGCCTCTCTACTACTTTAATTCATAGAGTCCGAATATTCAAGTTTATTCATTTTCGGAAAGCAATATGCCACGGATGTTCGGCCAATAAGTCCACACTAGAACTGTGAATACAGTAGTTGGTATAGCGACGACCCAGTAAACCCAGAACTTGTTCGACATAGACCAGCCGGAGTCCCCACCAAAATCAAAAAATGACGTGCTGAAGATAGCGCAGATGAAAGTAGGAGGGAGGAACGTAAGTGTAACAAAGGCGATCGTTTTCATGGCGGCACTGTCCATTTGAGTTGCCCGGCCAATTTCAAGAGTAACGCTGGCATCATGCTGAGCCACAGTATTAAAGGCCAGTTGGACTTCATTTTGCAATCTCTTTTCATTTGAAATGGACTGACATCGCAAGTTGCCAATAAAAGACTGCCAGGATCGCAGGCGAAGATGGATGTCTTCGGAAGCCGGAGAAGCATTATCTGGTCTCGAGTTTGTATAGCTCTCGTGTTGCATCAAGATATGTTCTGTATTCTGCACAGCAACATCGAGTGTCTCGTTCACATGAATTGCATGTCGGGCGATGTCGTGGAGTCGTCTGTAGTCGGGCTGTGGCCTCCCTTCTGGTTTCCCTTCTGTCTCTATCGATCGAACATGATCTCGGATAGCCCATACAGCGGGCTCCTCAATAAGCGCAATCTGTTCGAGTAGGTGTGGATAGACCCAGAATGGGTCGTTGAGCCAGCTTTCATCCGATTTCATCACTGCTCGTAGGAAGCGTTCTTTGATGGGCGGGTCCAGGTCGAAGGCGAGGATCACAGTTTGATTAGTCGAGGGCAACAATCGTGTGAAGACACCTGGATGATACCATTTGTATCTAGTATCATGTTCTACCTTTTTCACGGAGAATCTGGACCAGGTATCTCAGGAAATTAGTGCCGTTAGACCATTCATCTTTAGCGTACTTACTGAAACCAGTTTCTACTCCAGAATTTCGCGTTCTTTCACATCCAAAGGTGCCGTTTGCCCGAAGGAAATGATATGACCACCAAAAATGAGGCATACAAAAAGCATCGGCGAAGGCTTGTCGACATTGTGAACATCTCCCAATCTCGGTAGAATGGGCGACACTCGTAACATTAGGATGTTTCTGTAGATTTGCACGGGTTTACATACATGATACATATCTTAGACCAAGCAGGAATGGTATCAGAAAGATCGTTTGGAGCTTCAAGGTGGAAGTTCGCCCGCTGAGTTTGTCGCCAATCGCCTGCATCTCCTTTGTTCCGCTGTAGTATTAGCAGGTCATCACAAGCTCGGGACTTCTGCTCTTGCATTTTAGTTCATTAGATGTTATTAAAGATTTAGGGGATTTTTAGCTCGTTTTAGAGAAATCGCAAGGGAGAGCAAATCTCACTAAGTGGGGGAAAGGGCAGTCGCTGATGAGGGGCCGTGCCCCTCAGCCTCAATGCGCAGCAGAATAGATTCAATTCAAATTCAGATTTATATTGCAGCTTCTACCCTAAATTCCGTACTTTACCTATGTATTCATCACTCTGACGAGCGAAACTCATCGTCCATTGTCGGTGGCCCAACATATTTCTCATACCCCCAAACCCAGTACCATCCAGAAGCAAGTAGTATGAACGCAACAAACACCACCGGTGCGTAGTTGACCGTCTCTGCAGCGACGGGGATTGAAGAAGGCATACAGAATAATGGAATGACAAGAATAGACCATGCTAGAAACGAATGTGCGGTTAGCCATGGTGATAAACTCTGCTAGGACGTTCATACTTACCCAGTGTCACAATATTGCAAACCAACCCGAGTGTGCCAAGGTTAAATTGGCCATTCTTTATGTGTCGTCGACCTCCAGCAAGAGATACAACGATTGGACAGGCATAGCTGACAGTCAAGGTAATAACTCCGACTCCTGTGAAAGCATTGAATGCAGTGGTCGACCCGAAGTAAATAAATCCAAGCAATATTTCAACAACCATGCCAAGCATCATAGCATTAAAAGGTACGCCGTCTGTGTTTACCTGCCTCCACCATTTGGAGCCTGGTATACCCCCATCGCGGGCAAACGCCCATGTGCTTCGGGAGACAGCCGTGGTACAGCCTATGACACAGAACAGGGAGAGCAGTATCAATGGCAGGAGAAGCAGGAATGATCCAACTGGACTTCCAATAGCGGATTTGATGATACTCGGAACTGGTTGACCAGATTGGAGGGCCGCTAAAACCTTTGTGTCGGGGAGCACAAAAACCAAGGGAACAAGGAAGAGAAATCCGGCCAGGGTGTTCAGGATGACCGTTCCAACCAATGCTTTTGGGACTTGTGTTGATGGTTCCTGAACTTCTTCACACATACTTTGATGTGTCAGCTATAGGCTTTCCATAGTGAAGAATGAGACAGGAGATATTCCCCTGGGGGTGGAAACAAAATACATCACCTACCAAATCACCATTCCAGTGGAGGATGTGCTATAAGCTGCCTGCAAAAGTCCAACGCAGAAGGACCAGCCTGCTGGCCAACCAGATGCAGGCTCAAAACTAGTAAAAACATATCCGGCGCCATGTCTACCCTCTTTCGCAATTGCAAGAACACATATTACAATAGCCAATACCCCTGCAAGTGTCAAGAACATTGCGAATGCCTAGTGTCTGTGTTAGCGGGGTGATGTTGTCACAGGGTTTGTTGTTTAGACATACGTCAAGATATGGTAGCCATTTGTTCCCAAATGTCGTTATTGCGTTAGCGAGAAATGTGACTGCGACAAATATAAGAAAAACTTGGTATGTTGTCGCTTCGAAGATTCCCACCCCTGGAGCAGATTCGAAAACGTTGATACATGAAATGAAGAAAAGAGTACTTCCAAGGTTGACTGCAAGTGTGATGGTAATATTTCCAACAACATATGACCATCCGCAAATCCACGAGGCGATTCTTCGGTATGACGGTGGAGATAGCATAAAGGTTTGGTAGTAGACACCTCCGGCAGTTGGATAGACCGAGGTTACCTCGCCAAGTGAGGCAGCCACACAAAGGGTAATCAAAGAGACGGCGAGCCATCCCCAAATTATGTTGACAGGGCCTCCCCCAATAAGAGGGTAGATGAAAGTCGTAGCGAGTCCGTATGGAATTGCTGCGAGCACGAAGGACATGAAAGCAACCTGAAGCGTGGAGCGGTTTCGAACGAGCTCAGGCTCGTATCCCAGGGCTTCCAGTACCCCGTTTGCTGTAGTTTGTTTGCCTTCTTCAATACTTGGGAATTCCCCAGGTGGATGGGGCTCGGAGCCTTTGTTCTTCGAAGAATGCTGCTGGTGGGCGGTGACTTCGTCCGCCATGATGGAGATCTGACAAAATCGGGACAAATAACGAAGGAATAAAGAATTTCCTGAGAAAAAGAGGTATGGTCTAAGGCTGGGTCGAAAGGCTGAGCTTCAGGTAGTTAAATCTTGGGTATGGTCGAATAACCACGCCACAAGAAGAATTTTCGGATGCAATGAAGATTAGGAATTCGGGGTGTTTATCCCCTATTCTGGCGAGGGGGTTCCGTGCGCAGCTACTCATGAAACCTTAAGCATATTTACGAGTGAGGATGAATTCACTCAAACCGTTATCCCATATCTCTCCGAGGCACGTCTATCGCAGTGCATAGCGACCATTGGGGACACTGGTCTTTTATTGTCAACAGAAAATAGGCTAGCACAGCATAATAATTAATTAAAACGTCTCTAATATAATATTGAATGACCTGGATATAGATTATCCAGGTCTTGCAACGTTAAGTATAGAGGCCATGTAAGCAGTCGACTATTGTGCTTCTATGTAAATGACGAACTCACTATAAATTTTCAGAAATTCCTCATCTGCTTGATATAACAATTGAAGTATTCCATGTTGTAAGGAGGCGGAGACTCAAAGCCGTTTGAATCCTAAAAGCCAATCGGACCTAAGACACCAGGGGTCCGCTATCCACTGCGATACACGTTCCCAAACGAAGCATGTATCCACCAAGTGGAGAAATGAATTTATGCCGAGATAGCCCTTGATAGGATATTTCAATGACCAGGCAACCACGTATGACGTGAAGATAAGACGAGCAGGAGATTGGGCAGACAATATGCGAGCTGAACATCGATGATCCTCTCCACATTTTACCTACTCAAACTAGTACAAAATAGGTTAGAGATTTGACGCTAGTGCATGGCGGCTACGCTATACCAATTAAGGCATCCATGTGGATCCTCGCGGTCCGGACTTCCCTAGAGTCCTCCACCAGGACTCAAATTGTGAGAAAGATATGGGGATAGATTAGTATTGATTGGTGGAGCCTGTACAGGTAATAGTAATCAATTGACGTAGCTCGGTAGTTGACATTGATAAAAGGCATTACCATATCGAACCCCCGGTAGGCTATAATAGTGACATCAATGAAGCTTGCCGGCTGGAGATATCCGTTCAAATTTCCCCTCACAATACGGAGAAAGCGATTATCAAAGGATTTGGACTTCTCCGCATATGACGTCATAATAAGACACGGCGCGGACGAATCAATTAGAACCGGTTGCCATTGACTAAGAGTTAGAATATGTAGTTAGGTAGGCATTCTGTTTTCCCGCCAAAAGCGAAGTGGGATACTCGAACGGTGGATGGCTCCTCCCCGAGAATTGTGTTAGGATCTGCGCAGTTTTGGAGAATGCTACAATATCAACTCTTACATCAACTGGTACATACACATACCCATATACCCAAGTCTGTCTTCAAGCACTTGTACCCGATACCACCCAGGTTAATTACATGCACCTGGAGGGGCGCACATTTCCCCTATCCATGCTGATGGCCTGAAGGTGATTCCCAAATGAGAAGCTGATCACGCGCATAGAAAAGGAGCTAGTTCGCATTAAGAAAATGAACCCCTTAAAGCGTATTGTTGATCCTTTTTTGGATTAGCGCGAAAGGCAGGTGCGGGGAGATAAGCTTCGGGAGCGAGTTACCTCCTGGACACCTCAACGATACCTCTTCAAACCAATCAATCGGGGTGGTTCTCAGCACAGTGAGGCATTGCTTATCGGCAGGTGATCGGATCCCGGTTCATGGACCGATCTTCGAAGTCTTGGATCGGCTTCCCATCCGATGCCCCGCCATCTCAGACTGATGTTTGCCCTATCTCGGCGAAGCAACATTCTCAATATATTTGCTTTGATTAGAATGGAAACCACAAAGGGGTTGCTTTCTCCACAGAAGAAAAGGCAGAATCCCAACCGGTGTCGGCCAAAATCGAGAGGGGGCTGCCAAAGGTGCAAGCAGCGGCGAGTAAGTCGAGGTGAAAGATGCACAGTTTCTCCTTCATAAATGAAGGCCCGCTTTGGATTCTAGCTAATACTTATTCAGCGCAGATGTGACGAGGCAAAGCCAAGCTGTCAGGAATGTACCAAACGAGGACAAACATGCCCCGGTTACCAAAAGCAGAGCTTGCAGTGGCGCTATGTTTTCAAAGGCAGCGAAGAGGCACATCAGCCAGCATCACCGATTGAGTCTCCCAACGCGGTTGCGACTGAATCTTCCGAAGTGAACAACATAACACAGGAGGAAAAAGACAATCTTCAGAATGAAACCCAGAATATCTGGGATACGGCCTGCCCAAACCTCTTTGACCAGCTGCCGAATTTTGACGAGCCAACAGATGCCTGGTTTTATACTGAGTCTGCTTATAATGGTACGGCTCTAGCCAAGCCTGATGGCGAGCTGGGAGGGTTGTCGATTTTGCGTCAACGACTGGCCAATACATCCGTCCCCTCCTTCCTCATCCAACTGCCAGTGATGTTGGTGCAATATTACTTTCATACGGTTTGTAACCAATGGTCCTCTTTTGACTGTCCCCTGAATCCTTTCCGAACTATTATTAGCCGGCTCTGGAGTCGAAACGCGGCGATTTACTTTGCTATCCAGAGCATGTCAGCTGCCTCGTTAGCCAACGACTTTCCAACCATGCGAGCCATCGGAATACAGACACAGCAGCAAGCAATCGCGTGTCTGAATAACAGTGTCCAAAAGGGTTCCACTCAGACAAAGGATGATGAGTACTTTCTGGCACTACTCATGATTGGATCCACCACTGGGTGGCACGATGCTTCCGATTTGGGGCTTCCATATCTGAGAGCGGCCCAAGAACATCTTCTGAGACAAGAACGCCAGTACAAGAATGCGGACTCTGCTCTCGCAAAGCAACATCCGCTTTTCAAGCAGTGTCTCCTTTGGTGGAACTTATTAGCTGCCTTTGTGGCAGAGGAGTCGCCAATTCTGGACGTGGAAAGCTCTATAGAAAACAGCGAGACGGATCTTTCAGTCTATCTTATCGATGGGCAGATCCTTCCCCATCCATGGACAGGGTCTCTCAGGTACTCATTGAGCCTCTTCTATCGAACAGCAAGAATAATTAGAGCCGCAAGAACCTCGCACCTCCGAAGGCCAGAGGCTTTGGATCCCACCTTGATTGACCTGAGCTCCATGGCCGAAGAACTCGATCTCAGACAGAAAGCTGAACATCTCGAGGAAAGAATTCTCTTCACTGGCTTCTCATTCTATTGCGGGCCTGTCGATATCGGTGATTCAAACACGCCACCGTCGCATTTTCTTACGTTGGCCGAGGTATATCGCTGTACGGCACTGTTGCAAATTTACCATGTCTTCCCGGAAATCCTTGAAGAACGGCTACAAAGTAATCAAACCGCGGATAGCGAAAGTCCTATCCCGGCCCTCTTTTTGGTGTTGTTCCCAATAGCCGCCGAATGGTCATCGTGCTCGGTGGAAGACGCACGGCACACCCTAGCACTGCACATTGTATCCCTCCTGGAGCAGCTTCCTTCAACATCTGGAACGAAGGTAATGCAGCCCGTAGTTTTGGCTTGCATCTCTAGCGATCTTGTTTTCTCGTCTGGGTCTGTGCTGGGCGCCACGGAAAATGCGATCCCCAGTCTGAATACGCTGGATATTGACATTGCCCAGGCCAGACGAAAGGTCAAAATGCGGTTGTCTGAACTTACCATAATCCTACCAAAACTGCCAATGCAACGCATTTATAACGTTGTACATGAGACGTGGGATCGTGCGGACTCTGGTTTAGAGGAGTTCTGGCTGGATGTTATGCTGGATTTGAATTTGGAAACAATTATGGGATAGGCTCGGTATTGTGTCCAGCATCCTGCTCCCTGCTCACTGTCTCTACCTGTCCATCAACTTCAACTTGAATCTGCTCGAGGAACTCTGCCTTCAGGAAATACTCTAATTCCTTGGATGACTCTTGATGAATATCACTTTATATCCATTTCGCTGTTTTTCTGCCGCTGGATACTAGTTATTACATTCACGGTGTAAGGTCTTCTAGGTCCAGTTAACGGTGCTCAGGCTGCCGGCCAGCGCCGTGGCAGAGGCCGTGGCATATGTGCAGGGTCGTCGTTCCGGCCACAACAGCTCACACCATTGGTCTAAGGATATTTCCAAGAATCAGTCATATAAAACACTCAAGTTGATATGAACTTTCGACGATGAGTCGACTACCTTTGAACCTAACTACTCGAGCTACATATTCTTGATTTCTCGTAGAATAGCTGCTCCCCCATACTGCTCGCCGGTCTTCAGCTAACATATAGGGTATTCCAATGCAATTCTATGAGCCTCTTTTTACAATACACAGGGAATCACATCCAGTCCATAGTGTGTAGCACGACAATTTTATTCTGCTACAACCATTAGATCAAATGATATGATGGATGCATCGCTCAAGCTCTCGCAATCGGGCATATTTGAGTGCCTAACCCATGACTTATGCTTATCCGCAGCTCGTCTCCGGGCTGGAGAAACTGTGGTGGGCTCTGTGAGATACCAATACCACAAGGCGTTCCGGTGATGATAACGGTGCCGGGCAATAAAGTGTGGCCCTAATACTTAGAATTAGTTCTATTTGCTTGAAAGAGATAGAGTTATTCTGTACCTGAGATACGTAAGACACAATTTCTGGTATGCTGAAGATCATGTCATCGGCGGATCCATTCTGCATAATCTTTCCATTGAGACGGGTCTTTAAATTCAAAACCGCAGCATCGGGGATTTGTTCTGTAGACACGATACATGGACCGAGTGGGCAAAACCCATCCTGATGGAGGTTAGTCGTGAAGTTCATTTTGGGCGTCGACTATATCAGCATACCATTCCCTTTGCATAAGACCACTGTGATGTCTTTTCTTGATGCTTGCGGGCTGTCACGTCATTGGCGACTGCATATCCCAGAACATAGTCGGCTGCTTCGGAGACCGAAACGTTCTTGCATTGTCGGCCGATGACTATCGCCAACTCAACTTCATAGTCTGCTTCATCATAATCCACGTTGGAGGGAAGTATAATCGGTTCGGATGCAGATGCAATGCAAGTGCTAGCCTTCAGGAATACACTGCACGGTATGAGAAAGTGCCAGAAAAAAAAAGCAAAAGCAGATACTGACGTCGGCGTGTTTGGAATAGTCAACTTCATCTCGGCTGCGTGCTCCTTATAGTTTAGGCCGATGCACCGAACAGTCCCAGTTTCCATTTGCGAGACTGGGGATAGCAGTTCATCAATGGTTTTGACTTCACCGGTGAATGAAGCATCATAATCCAATGCTGAGTTACCAGCCACGACTTTGACTGATACTTCGGCATTCTTCTCTATGGCCTGACCCACTTGAGTCTGTCAGTACGGGTTGGACTCTCGTGAACTTGAGTATGCCATACCATCAATATCCGGATTCACCGGCTCCCCACCATATATTTTGCCATCTTCCGCTCTGAAACGAACCCAGCGCTTCCATACCTGTGGCACATTAGATTACTCCAACATGGTCTTGGTGAAGCGCTTACTGGATGTTTTGCTCCCAGGGTGTCTTCGAACTCCGTTCCATTCACGTTCGAAATTCCCATTTTGAGAGATGGTGACATAAAAGATTTTGGAATGATAAAAAGTACGTGCGTGCTTTACCTCCTTATCAATGGACAGTTCCCCATACCAAATAAAGCATATCGGGAAATTCATCGGGAAATTCTTTAAATAAGATAAGTTAAAGTTCATAATTGCCGATGCCAAGACAATAAAATGCGGGGAAACCACTTCGGGTAAAGATAGCGATAGCTGATCAGCTGATATACATGGTTGTAGGCAATGTGAGGAGGTAGTGAAACATCGAAAGCACTCGAGATGACAATTTTGAGTGAGATATACAAATTATGAATTTTAAGTTTAAAATTCCCCCAAGGTAGGAGTGTGGACGAACTAATGCATGAAAAGTCTTGGTCACTGCCGGCTTATCCTCCAGCCCGAGAGCTTATCTCTTGCAATGAGACAGAATACTAATTGGCCTGAAAATGTTCGGGAAATTCTTTGTCCCACATTCGCCAAGTGCTCGAATAAACCGAAGGAATTTCCCGATCATTGATAACGCCTGTAACAGTTCTGTGGATATATAAGAACCGATGGGGATGGATTCCACTGGTTACGATAATTTACATACTCTTTCAAAATGAACAAGGAGACAGATATCAAACAAACTGACCTATCCTCGGATCACGATGTACAGATGGGCAACCTCATAGTTGACCCTATCCGAGAGAAAAGGCTACTATGGAAGCTTGATCTCTGCATTTGTCCTTTAGTGATGCTGATTTTTTTGGTTGCATATCTTGATCGAAGCAACTTGGGGTAAGACTTTATCCACACAGCAAGAATTCTTGTCGTTAACTCCTAGCTAGGAATGCAGCTGTTGCCGGAATGCCGGTAAAGTCGAGTCCACGTTTTGTGAAACAGTAGGTCACTGACTTCGCTCTTACAGGAAGATATTGGTCTGGTAGGAAATGAACTAGGAAGTGAGATTAGCGTCATCCGATATTCGAAGCTATAGCTAACAATACCCGAGCAGATGCCGTGTCTTTGTTTTACGCAACCTACGTCTTCTTTGAGATCCCATTCTCTATGCTCCTCAAGAAATTACGCCCAAACAGACTCATTTCTGCATTGATCATTGGCTTCAGTGTATCCATATTGGCTGCTGGATTTATCAAAAATGCCGCCGGGCTTTATATCACCAGACTATTTCTCGGCGTCTTTGAGAGTGGCCTATTTCCGTGAGAATATCGGTTGCCTTGATAAACTCATGGATAGAGACTAATTATTACGCAGATGCTTGACTGTTCTCTTAACTACCTTTTACAAGCGCGAGGAACAAGCACAGAGAATCTCGTATCTGTTTGTGTCTGCTGCTCTGAGTGGAGGCTTTGGTGGACTGTATGCGCAAACTCTCTCTATTCTATCAACCACGATGGCTAACGTGAATCTTAGACTCGCTTTCGGACTGATTCGCCTAGATGGTGCGGGCGGTCTCGAAGGTTGGAGGTGGCTTTTCATTGTGGAGGGCATCATGAGCGCGGCCGTTGGTATTGCAACGTTCTTCCTCCTTCCAAACGACTACGAAACTGCCTACTTCTTGAACGAAGACGATAAAGAGCTGATGCGCATGCGTATGCAACAGTCAGCACGGTACGCCGATACTGAAGAGTTTGATATCCAGGAAGTGTGGAAAACACTGAGAGACCCTAAGAGTTGGCTCACCTCGTTCAACCAAATTTGTGTCAACACTTGTTCCTTCGGGTTTAGTACATTCCTACCTACTATTATCCGAGGGTTTGGATATGATTCGGTCAAGACCCAACTGCTCACTGTTCCCGTGTATATCTGGGCCTCCGCGTTTTACCTGGTCATTGCCAATTTATCCGACCGAGTGCGTATGCGAGCTGTTTTCATGGTCCCCCTGTGTCTGGTGACAGCTGTTGGCTATGCCATGCTGTTAGGAGTGGATGTCCATGCGCGAGGTCCATTATATTTTGCGACATATGTCTGCGTTACTGGGTATATATTTTTCGTTGCTCGGAGTATTTGTTGAGCAATTGTTAACGTCCCTTCTAGAATCTATGCTGTGGTTGGACTGGGGGTCAGTTGGAACGCCAACAGCCATTCTGGCTATTACAAGCGTGCCATGGGAGTGGGCCTCCAGCAGACTATCGGAAATTGCGCCGGTTTGATTGTGAGTGGAATATCATATTGGCGTGCTCGTTTTGTGGCATTGACCTCAAGCTAACATAACTCAAGGCTGGTCAAATCTACAAGTCACCGGTAAATGGACGATATGTAGTCGGTCATTCCGTTTCCCTTGCTACTATCTGTCTCGCACTCTTGGGTAATTCTGGCATGTGGGCTTTGCTCCGATATCACAATACGAAGCGAGACCAACTGTCACCGGAGGAGAGGGAGCACATTGTCAGCTCCGGGTCATACGAAAAGAAAGGCGGAGATTTCCATCCGGACTTCCGCTATATCCTGTGAATATAATATTCTGTACTAGCAAATATTGAGATCAAATGATGTAATCTTCTGAGAGGCCAACACCCATCAATAGAGACCAAGAATATAGATCGACAGATGCTTGCACAACCAACGAGAATGACGAATGACCGCAAGAAATTCCATATGCTAAGCGTGATATGCAATTTCGGAGATCATTTGCTCCCAAGTCTCAAGATCAGCAGCCTGTGGAAATGCAAAGTTCTGATCTTCCCATACTGCAGGCCACATCATATCGGTCGAAGAACCAGGTGGGTGGTCGAGCGAGCCGCCCGCTGCAATAGACTCGATGTTCATGGGCGTCGAAATTTCTGGATTCCTTTCGCGCTCCTGCGCCATAAAATCTGGCAATATTTCAGGTGGACTCATTGGAGTCTGCTCACCTGGCTGGTCGGTGGCTTGGGCAAGTCCAGTGGTACGGAGTATACACAACTCTACGACTTTGACCTCCGCAAGACCAAACTCGTTTAGCCAAACATCCTTACGTAACCTTTCGCAATATTCTTCAAGATCGTTCAAAATTGACGCTGTTTGAGGGGCAATGGGTCGCCGCACGGCGATAATACCCAGGATGAAGGCACTGTTAAACATATTATGAGTGCCTAGCGTCCATCTCATATTTTCTGATGTTCCATAGTTCAAGGACTGCAATCGGATTTTCAGATCTGAAGATGCCGAGGAGATGCATGCCTCGTGACTGAGGCTGAAGCGATTGGTTATAGACTCGCGCAGAAGATAAGGTCGGTGCAGAGTGATTCTGGCAAAGTGGAAAGCAGAGTGCAGATAGAGGCGATGCCAAGGTAAAAATGTATGCGACGAATCCAGTGAGAGATCGGGATTTTCCACGGCAAAGTAGGATGGGAGTTGCTCTTTCCATGCAACGAGCTTGTTGTCCATCTCAATCACCATATCGTACGACGCAGGATATAAACCAAAGCATCGGTCTTGGATTTCGCCTGCAATTTTACCTAGGCCACTGCCGAGTAGTGTGACTGTGCTCATTGTAGGATAGCTCAATTCATGAGCTGTAGCAATAGTGGACTCTTCATCAGTCAATCCATCCAGCCATATATTATCAGGTGCTTTGATAAGACACATATGATCCGAGATCGCGTATGGTCTGCCGAGAGCGAGGGCAATGGTTTTGTCAAGCAAGTACAGATTGCTCCAAAGGCGTCTTCTGATTTCAGTGGCTTTCCTCGATAAACCCCATTTTTCTCCATCTATATGCATGCCTTGTGCCTGGGCCATGCGCATGGCAAAGCTGATGGTGAGCCAGCTCTCTGCGACTTGTCTGGTGTATAACAGATATCGCGTAACCATCAAGCCTGCTCTGACAAGATCTAAGCTTTCGCCGTGAAAAGAGGGTGAGATAACGATCGCCCTCCTGGCAGCCCAGTAGAACCGAAGAGAAGCTTCTTCGCTTTCTTTTCGCTTTTCGGGCGAAGAGATCGCAGAACTATCCAAGAGCACACTAAAAGCGAGAATAATAAACAAAAGAGCAAGCCAGCGAAGGTCTACTCCGGCAATTTCGTCGAATCCAAATTTTCGGCCCCAGAACTCTGCAAATTGAGATCTGAAGGTTTCGGGGTGAACCGTGTCGATAGCCCAGTTAATCTCGGTCAAGAATTTCTCGATTAGCCGATCAACGGTCACTTTATTCCGTGGTAAGAGGCCAAGTAAATCCCAAACTTGCGAAAAAGGCCCAGAGTCATTTCGAAACGATTGCAGAGAATCCTTGCTAGACAGCAAGCTCATAGGGGGCAAATCGGGAGCTGACTCCTGAATCATGCGGGCTGCCACCTGGTGGCCGAAGTATGAATTACCGAAGAAGCTCGGTGCTCCCCGGGCAATATACAACTGCCCCAGCTGCGTGCCCTGGGTGTCTGCTATATGAGTTCACCGTTAGTCGTGACATACGTTTCGACAGAGGGGATATTCCGGTACCTGCTGTTCTCACTCTTTCTGGTGGCATCCCATGACCCTTCTGTTTTCCCGGCCATTGACATAGTTGAGGAATCCCACGTTGGATACAACGGGAACAAGGCAGTTCTCTGTTACATTTCTGCTTCCTGGCGTGACATTGGGAACAGGAAGTTGTTTTTCTCCCCCGTCTTGCTCTAGGGCCGGAGTCGAGTGCCACATTACTTCTCTTTCTTTCATTAGTACTCATTGTTTCATGGAATCCCAAGCGAGTAGTCAGGAGTTGTTGGATTGTAGACGACAAAAAGGAACCTCGGGAGTGACCCGAGGCTTAACTAGCCGGAGGTCTCGGCCTTGGGTAGGGGCCGATCGCTGGCATCCATAGATATGACAAGGTTAGACACCCTCGTACTTGGGATCAGGTCTATAGAAGTGCTCGCTACCACACAGTTTATTTCTTATTCATTTCCCAATGCAACTAAATTAGATGAATATATATGTTTTGGTTTGATTGATGTATTATTATTATGAGACAGAAAGCCTAGTACTAAGCACATAGTTAGTCTTTGTGGGCCTGCACATTTGGCTCAGACGTTAGGTCTTCCTTTCAGCCATCAGGATATATAAAGAGCCAGGGCAGCTAAGCTACCAGAGTAAAATAAAAGGATTGAGAGAAATGATCTAGGAAAATAGGTAAAATCGAAAGGAAAGATGAAGGAAAGGTACATTGGAAATATGAAAGTGGTGCGGGAGCCCTGGAGATTTGTAGTGCTTAGTCATCTGACGTCAAGCGCGTTTGTTTACATTTTGGCCTCGCTTCGACTTATGCTCCCCACTGTTCACCCCTGCACTACTTCTTCAGGCTATTGCAATCTTCTGATATTTGTTGATTCCTTGCATTCACGTCTTCAATTATGGCGATCCGCCGTTCCGCGCGCCTTCGTCGTGCCCAGGACACCCCGGAGGTGAGAACATAGCAACAACGCCTGCTGTGGGACAGCTTGAGGTCCTGACAACCGTTGCAATCGGGGTAAACTAACTTCTATTGGCTTCTTTTCAGGTTGAAGACATGACCCCTCAGCCAGTCGCAGCTTCCAGACTTCACTCTGTTGCCGAAGGCGAGGAGCCTGACAGCTCCAAACTCCCACACATCCAAACCCCCCGTGCGAAAACTCCTTCTCAAAAAACTCCTCGTGCGTCCGCTCAACAAAAGCGCGCTAGTATGAGGACCCCCACTAGTGTGACTGCGCCTCGTCCGTCCCGAGAAGAAATGCATCCCAGCAAGGCGCAACAGAGCACAACCAAGCAGCCAGACTCAGGCCTGCTCCTCGGATTCAATCCCATCAAGAAAGACGCCAACGGAAATGTGGTCAAGCCCGGCATCAGTGACAACACCCCGACCAAGTCCAAGGCATCTCCTGCGACCGATCAGTTTGGGACCCCAGGATTCGAGTACAAGTTTCACTCCCAGGAGACGGAACTCAGCGAGGAGGCCAAACAGCTGATGGAGAGCCTCCGTGCTGATGCTGCTCGAATCAAGGCGCAGATGGTCCAGGAAAATTCAGAGCAAAAATATGAAGATCGCCAAGCCGAACAAATTCATGGAGACCGGAAGATTGCCATGCCAAAGGGCAAAGCCAACCGCTTCAGCGACATCCACATGGCCGAATTCAGAAAAATGGACTCCATTGCTGGACACGCTTCATCTTTCCGTGCTACTCCGGGTCGCTTCCAGCCCGTTACCAAGTCCCTGAAGCGGTCCAAGTCCAAGGCGCAGCTTGACGAACCAGAGAGCCAGAACTCGTCCCCTTCTCGCTCTGCCACTAAGATCTCAAACCTGTCCACTCCCACGGCCGCTACAGCAGCTAAGCGTGTCAAACACGACCAAAGCGAAGATACGTCCACTCGTCGTGAATCAAAGGATCAGACACAGAAAAAGGTCGAAACCCCTCGGAGACCTGCAGGTCCTCGGCCTCGCCCTCGCACGAACGTTCGCAGTTCCCTTATGACTCCCACACATGCTTCGCTTGCTCGTACGACCTCTACCAGCATCAAAGCGCCGAACACCTCAATGATTCCATCCTTGAAATTCTCTCCGGCTGCCAAAACAATAGCCTCACCTCGAACTCCTCGCACTGATTTCAACCCACGCCTTAAGAGCAAATTGCCCACCATTGGTAGCCTTAGATCTATTCTTCGTCGGCGTCAACCACTCTTCTCCCGCGACCCTGCCAAAATTGCGTCCGGTACCCACGTTGCGGCGCCCGATTTCAATCCCAAATCGCTCTTTGAAGGAGCCGGTGATGTGAGCGACTCCGCTCCAACCCCTTCGCCAAAGAAGCACGTTGAGTTCACTCCGAGTGTCAAGTCTCGTCACGAACTTGCTATCGCATTACCCTCGCCTTCCAAGGCCTCTTCCGCTCAGCCTCTTTCCATGGCCGGAGATGTGGTCTATCCCACTCTCCCGGCTCTCACTCCCGAGAAGAACTCGGCTATCATGACCTCCACTACTCCTACTTCCGAATTTAGGTCCATTCGTCATGTTCGCAAGTCGGATGCCGGTGAACAGCCCGCTCCACATCAGGAGCTTCCTGTTGTGACTCATGGCATTGCTCATGGCATTGTCAATAAAAAGAGGCACCGCAATGAGGTTAACGACGAGGATGCTCCCAGCACTGCAAGTTGTGAGAACGTGCCACCTACCGATGTGCAGTCTGATGAGCGCAGCACCAAGAGGTTCAAGTCCAACCCGCCTACTCCAAGCCCGGTGAAGAAACGCCTTATCAAGACTCCTGTGCGTCCTTCTGGCCAAATTGGCACTCCCGCTAGCAAGCAAAGGGGTCGTGGCGTTCTCAGCATGAGCCGCCTCAACATGCTCTCGAAGCCGAAGAGACAGGCCTGAACATGCAATGACCTGATGAACACACCTGGCGCGTTGGGCCGCGTCTCTGACGAATTGTTCTTTTTTTCAGCCTTATGATCAACCTAGTACCTGATTTCTGTTACTTCTTTTTTTCACATTCTGGACCCTTGCAGTCCAGCACACGCTGCAGTAATGCTCTTCTGCAGTATCAACGAACCAAAATTTCCATTCTTGATTTGTATCTACACTACCATTTTTGGGGTCTTCGGACCCTTCCCCACCCACCTTACGGAATATTTTCTTTCGTGTCCGGTGTTGTTTTTCTTTCTTTCTTGCCTGTTCCTCTGGTAAACCTTTTGTGGGAAACATGGCGTTTGCGGTTATGCTTTCGGACTATTGATATTGGAGCGGTACCACGGTGCTTTCGTTTCTGTGTACGTATTGTCAAGAAAATTTTCAAACCAATTCTGTGATGAAAATCGTGGGCACAGGAGAATATGGTCAGTGTATGCACGCACTATAAACTATCGATGTCCCCAACAACGTAGAATGAACTAGCCGTTGGATTACGCCATTGGTTTAGGAAAAAAAGATACCAAGGTTGTGGATGAATCAAAGGATTCGCTATGTACAACATACATGAATTAGAATCTCCATCCACTGTGGGGAGACATCAAAGAAGCTAACAATACATGAAGGGTTCGAAGAAGAATAATAGAAGAACGAGCAGAAATCAGAAGGCCTTCCCAGCAATAGAACAAATACGCTCCGGTCTGCCGTGCAGACAAGAGCCTCCATGGTATAGGACGGAGAATGGTACAGTGGCATTAAGCATGACAATCATTTGGGGGTTGTGAGAATATGGGTGTGTTTTCGGGGAGGGTTGGGGTCGAAGAGGTGCGAAAATGTGCGGGAAATGGTAGATATGCATCTGAGATGCAAGCAAAGAGGTAGACATCGAGCCTGGACTGGAGTAAGCTTCGAATCGGGGATGGGCGGCGCAGTATGTATCAGTTTTTCATGGTTTCCAGGAAAGAATCCAGGTTGTATTCTTCCTGGTACTGGCGGTCATCCCAGAGCTCGCCCAGATCGTCTAGCCAGCCCTTCTTGCCCTTCTCCTTGACCTCGCCGTCAATATCAACCATGTCTACTTCATTGCCGGCTGTGTCGCTTGGCTTCTCGGCTGTGTCTGCCGTTTCGCCGAGATTGAACAGGTCAAGCAGCTGGTCTGTATCCATTGTTCCGAGTCCGGCGTTCTGTTGATTGACCACGGTGGAGGCGACGTCGATCTTGAATCGTTGCAAGCTGTGGTTGGGTTCGTGTTAGTCTTTGTGTATCTCCGGAGTGCATGTAGAATGATAATGACTTACTTCAGGATCTTCTCCTCCAGGGTACCTCGGGTAATCAGGCGGTACACGTTGACAACCTTCTTTTGACCGATACGATGGGCACGGTCCATAGCCTGGATATCTTTCTGCGGGTTCCAGTCGTGCTCCACGAAAATGACGGTGTCTGCACCTGTAAGGTTGAGACCCAATCCACCAACACTAGTGGTCAGGAGTAAGACGTCGTAACTCGGGTCAGTGTTGAATCGGTTAACGATGTCCTGGCGCTTGGTTGCTTCCACGCCTCCATCCAGGCGAAGGTATTGCACGGAGGGGAGGAGTTTCTTAAGGACGTCATTCTGCACAATGTCCAGCATCTCCTTCATCTGACAGAACACAAGGGCTCGGTGGGGGCTGACATAGCTTGCGCCTGTATCCAGTTCACCCTCTGCTGTGTGATCAAGGCCAATACCACAATCCACCAGCAAATCTTTCAGAGCATTTAGCTTGGGCGCGTGGGAAACATCTCTGATGTTCGAACGCTTGGCACTCAGGAAGCTTTGCACCTCGTTGTACTGCTTGTGTCCTTCCTTGACAACCAAGGCAGGAGAGTTACATAGACGTCGCATGTATTGAAGCGCCTGGAAGATATGCTCTTTGTCGGCTCGGTCTGCGCTGCCCACCTTGTCTGCCAACTCCTTCTGCTCCTTCTTGGAGAAGTCCTCGAACAGTTTCTTCTGCAGTTCACTTGGATCGCAGTAGTAGTTCTGAATAATCTTGGGAGGGAGGTCATTCAAGACTTCCTCTTTCAGACGACGGAGTAGGAATGGCAGGACCTGTTTGTGCAGTGCCTCGATTGCTAAAGCACCTGCCTCTTGTTCCTTGGAGGAGGATTTGCTGAAACGGCTCGCTGCAATAGGCTTGGCAAATCGATCCAAGAAGACCTTCTCTGTTCCCAAGAAACCGGGCATCAAGAAGTCAAACAGCGACCACAGTTCGAGGACGTTGTTCTGGATTGGAGTGCCAGACAAGATCAGACGGTGGTTGCTGGCCAACTTTTTAACTGAAGACGTGATCTTGGCCTTGGGGTTCTTGATAAGATGGCCCTCGTCCAGCACGCAGTAGTTAAAGTTGATAGCGGAGAGAATATCGTTGTCATTGCGGCAAACATCGTAGGAAGTTACAATGACATCTGTGTTGGCCAGCAAGGGTTGAAGTCTCGTCCGTTCCGCGGGAGGGCCCACATACGCAATGCAACTGAGGAATGGAGCATACTGCTTGACTTCCTGCTGCCAATGTCCAGAGAGAGAAGGCGGACAGACAATCAAAGAAGGCAATTTTCGAGAGTCTGTGGATTGACTCTTGGCGAACTCCTCCGCTCGCATATGGTGGTCACTTGCCACGATGCAAATGGTCTGCAGTGTCTTGCCAAGACCCATGTCGTCGCAAAGAATGCCATGGAGATTGTAGCGATTGAGGAAAGCAAGCCAGTTGACACCGTCTTGCTGGTAAGGTCGGAGCTCAGCCTTGATCGCGACTGGAATTTCGAATGGCTCGACCTTACGCACATCCAGCATCTGGGACATGAACTTCCTCTCTCGGTCACGGCCTTCGAGCAACTCCGCTGAGAAGCCGGGGGGGTCGGGAATACCCGCCTCCAGAGGAACCAGTTTAACGAGGGTGGCGAATGATGTTGTTGCTAGAAGACGCACATCGTTGTCGGAGTCGCTCATTCGGCCAAGGACAGGAACTACCAGGAAGATGACATAAGGGAGAATCCCATCTTCCATAACATGGATCAGATGATAGATGCACTCAATCGCACCTTGACGATGATTGACATCCAAACCATTGTTAATAAGTGGCAAGACCTTTTCAACCAGCATTGTCATGCCCTTGACGGTGATGACACTACAAATTGTAGCGAAACATTTGGCTGCTGCGTAGCGAATAACAGAAAGTCGGCACTGCAAACCCTTGGCGATAATCGGCATAAGGTCGATGACCCATTCGTGGAGACCTGTATCAAACTTGGGCAGCAGAGCCCGCAACGTAGACAGACCATCCACAATTTCTTGGCCAAGTTCGTTCTCTGGTTTAGTGATATCCTCGGGAAGTTCATCTTCTGTCAAAGCATCTCTCAATGGCCGTTCAACCAATTTCGCGAGATTCGGAACCTTCTCCAAAAGCTCAGGGCCGAATTTGACTGCCAGCTGCTCCAGCGCATCCTTAGCACCACGACGCATAATCCGTGCTTCTCTTGCCTCTTTTTCGAATTTGGCCGCGTCTGGATGGTCCCGTCGGTCTTCTTCTTTGCGCAGCGACAAGATTGATTTCTCCAATTGCACATTGTGCGGGAATTCGGGTGTCTCGGAAGTGTCCACACAGCAGTATTTGACCAAGTTTCCAATGATTTTGTCCACTGGTCCACGCTTTGTGGAGGCTGTGTAATGTTCAATAAGGCCCGCCACTGCTGTCGCTGAGCGCTGCTGAAGTTCTACATTCTCCTCTTTCTTGACACTGTCCATCATACCTTTAATGATGTGACCAGGCTTCTTGGGGATATCCCGCAACGCGACCAGGGCACCAGCAGTGGCAGCAAGAACACGCATATCCCGCTGTTCCCTTATCAGTCGTGCCTCCTCGACGGCGGATTGTGCAGTGGTACGAGTGTCATTCAACACTTGGGTAGCAGTGATCCGTTGTGCCGGTGTGAGGTTCTTCTTCAGTCGATCAAAGTCAGGACCGACAATTTTCTCAGCGTCCGCCAAAGAAAATGCGTTAGGCCCGGCTTCTGAGTCGCCCTGGACGACCACAGCCAAGGTTGGCAGCCGAGAAGGTGCCACATGCGCATGATCCCGGAAAGTATTCAACAATGAATGGCACTGGGAGCGCGCTACATGAAGGTAGCACGCAATGTCCGCATACCAGGGTGGGCGCTCGCCTTCGAGAATTGGTCGAAGACGGTCACATAGAGACGAGCGATATTTGCTCTCTGGCCCGGATTGGCGAGCATACTCTTCCAGGACCATGGCCGAAGCAAGCTGCGTTGTGGAAGCAGAAGCATTAAGACCATCCAGAACTGCCGGCCAAAGGCTTGGTAGTTCATTCTTGTCCCAGAAAGATATCAGTGCGCCCAGCGCCTTCGCGGCGTAAATCTTGGATCTCAGCATGGTATCTGTACCAACGAGGTCAATATCACCGGAAAGCATGTGTCCGTCCACGTTGTGAGCTGAGGGCGGAGGCGGTTCTTTCTCTTTCTTCTCCGATTTGCGCCTCCGTCCCACCTTGATCTCAGCACCGCCCGGAATAGAAGCAGGGGGAGAGCCTTTGGAAGGGGTCGGAGCCGGGAGAGTGGCGGAGAATGGCAGACCAGACGGTTTGATAAAGAGCGAGGCGTCCATGGGGATGGGGTACCGAGGAACGCCGAAAGCGCCCAGAGTCAGAGTGACAAGAGGCTGGATCGAGTCGGATAACTCCTCTTCGGATTTGAATGAACCGCGCAGTTCAACAGCGTGGAGGAGTTCAGACCACACTTGGCCAGACAGTTTCAAAACACTCTCGTTGCGCTCCACGAGAAGATTTTGGAAGATCAAGCGCAGTGCCTTGCCATCTACCCAATCTGTAGTGCCGTCACCTTCCAGCTTCAAGAATGTCATGAGAGCCCGAAGGACAGCCAAGCGAACGCTGGTGATAGTATGGCGGAGGAATGGGTAGAGGCGGGGGACAAGTTTGCCAAATGACGCTTCCGGATCATCTGCAGCGTTAGCCTTCATAGCATCCAGAACGTGAGAGAATGTGCACAGCTTGGCCAAAAGGTCCATCACAGAGCCTGTGCTAGCACTAAGATCGTCCTGCAGATTGGAGAGACAGTCCCAGACGATGTTCATCAGAGAGCCAAGAGTGCCAGTCCGGGAGGAGACAAACTCCTCTGCAATGGGAACAAGCGTGGCGGCGCTAACAGCCCGGACATCATCATCATAATCAGCGAGGCCTTTCATGACAGCTTCCAGGACGCCATCCATCATGTTGGAATCCTTGACGAGCAAGTCCTTTCGAATTGCGACAAGGTACCGCAGCCCGATCATACCACCGTGACAGACCTCCCATACGGGGCGGTCCAGTCCTAGGTCGGTCTGCATTATGATCCGGTATAGGCATCGGTAGACCGCTCGAACTGAGTTCGGGTGTAGGTGTGAGAGAAGAGCACCGAGAGTCTGGCCCACGGTTTCACGAATTGGGGCAACCACATTGTCTGAAATGTAATCACCAAAGCGGTCAAGCATCAGAACGCAGAGTAGTCGACATGAGAGGTCATCCAGCCACCGGCGATTGAGTGCATCGTTTTCTGAGCGAGATTTTCCATCCAGGCGACCAGCTGCCGGGCCCTGGACCCTGATTACTTCACGCAGGGCCATTGCGGCGCCATGTCGAACTTCCCAGTTGGAGTCAAAGATGTCCATAGTCAAGAATTCACACATATGTTCCAGAGGCCATCCTGCACCCTGCTCCACAATGTCTGGCTGGATATGAGGTCGCTCTGGGACGGCAGCTCCTTTGAATTCAGAAACAAGCTTAGAATCGTCATCCTCTTCGGTGCGTTCAAAGGAAAAGTAATCGGGTTTTGTCTCGCCGTTTTGATCATCTCCATTCTCTGCTTTGACGGGGTGGGGGGTTGTCGCCAGAGGGGTTGTAACAATATCGGACTGTCGACGGGAAGACAGATCCACGACACGGACTTTATTGGCCCCCATCTTGGCATTCTGTTTGTTTTTCCGTTTGAGCTGATTGAGCTGGCGCTTGCTCAGCCCCCCGTCCTCCTTCATCGCACTTTCACTAGGCGAGGAAGGCCGGCGGGAGGAAGCTTCACGAAGACTGTCATGATGAGGAATTGGCGGGATAGTCGGCTCATGCTTTGGGGCAGGAGTTACCACTTTAGGAGCCAATTCGATATCCTCGATCAGGTCTTCTTCAAGGTATTCGCCTTCGAGACCCAGCCTCGAGGTCAAGGTCTTCTTTTGGTGCTGCAGGCGTGAAGCTGGTTCCATAGACGCGAGGGAGTACTCATACTCCTTGCCCGCACTGCCGAGCAGCCGCTTACCATATTTTAATACGGAAGGGATGTCCAGGGTGTCGAGTTTGAGGAAATCATCAGCCGGAATTGGCTCTTCGGATTTGACCTCGGACTTAATCTCCACATCATCTTCTTCTGCCGCAGACTTGATCTGGAGTCCATCGTCCTCGTTTGGATCATAGATATCTGCGTTAGAGACAATCAGTCCAATAGCTTTGGCAGAAGCTGTCCTTGTGTCCCAGGACTTGGATCTGAGGTAAGGCAGGATGCGTCCGAGTAAATTAAACAGTTCATCTGGATGCTGTTTCTGCACATCTGCAAGCTGCTGAGCAGCAGTATTACGAATCAACTGAGTACTGCCCGTCTCAAGTAGCCTGTATTGTCATTGGTCAGTGGTCAGTTGGTTCACGTGATCCCATGCATTGGGTCGAAATACTCACGTGACGAGGCGGTCGAGTCTGTATTAGGTTAGCTTCACGTGACAGGCGCGTGGTGATTGGCTGAAGGGACTTACCGGGAAGCCATCGCGGGTCTTCACGTTTCTCCCGACTATGCGGCACAATTTGAATAAGGGAAAAAGGAAAAAAAAAAAAAAGGACACCACAAAG